TGTAATCTTTAAGATAAAGTATAGTTTTCGATCCAAATTATCGTTATTTACGATTATTATTAACTCTTTTTGTAACTCATTTTATGTCGTTTAATACTTGGTTTTTAGTGTGTAATACTACTTTTTCAATATAACTTTATAAAAGAGAAAAATAATTGATTTTTGTTAAGTTTTAAAGGTGTAAATGTGACGAAAGGGACAAACTGTTCATTTTTATGGAATTGTTACCTGATTAAATAACGATTAACTACCAATTGTCCAAGACTGATTTAAGCTGAGATTTTGTAATAATAAATGCAAATATCTATTGAAATTTCTTTTAATTTATCGAGTTTTAAACAACTGAATTTCGTGACGAAGGATACATTTTTTTCCATCTTAGTCTAGTAAAACGCAAAAAAATATAAGTTTTGATAAAAAACTGAGCTGCTGGTCTACAGATACCGAATCTATGGTAATTTTCCTACATTTTAGTCGTATGAAATGTACTAAATAGCTTTATTTATTTTTTATCATGGTTAAGACCTTAAAAGTAGAACGACCCATAAAACACACGTCATGTCTTGATCCGTGTCTCATTTCGTTTCACTGGAATATTAGATATCTGTGTCCTCAAAGTCACTGTTACTGCCCCGATTTTGTTTGCACCAAGTGTTACTATCCAACCAATAGCTATTCTAGTCAAAGATGATCCAAATACCACCAGAACAGCCCTGTATAGCATTCGATACAGTATTCCTTGACCGGGGCATAACACTAAATAATAATTGCACACGATTCCGACCATTAACATAAACATGTGAGTGCTGATACTATAGACGATGAACAATACAGATAGCGCGTGCCATACTGTCCTTTCTTGGGATCAAATAGATTTAGGAATGGATAGAATTTCTTCAAACTTTAAACTGAATAAATAAACTTAACCGTAACATTAAAACGCGAACTACGTATTTACTTATTTACTGTGAGAGTGCTCTATATTAGACCTCATCATCATTCATCATCAGGTCTTATTGAATACAAACGAGAAATTAATCACACAAGAATATTGTTAAACAACTCAAAATAATGTGTAAAACAACCAGTGGACGTCTTCTGACTGCTAGACAAAGGCCTTCCCTAAGTATTTCCCCAACGACCGGTCCAATGCAGCCCTCATCCAGGTGCTTCCCAAGGCCTTCACTAGATCAACGGTCCACTGAATTGGTGACCTGACTACACTACATTTTCGCGTCTGTGGTCGTCTCAAGAATTTTACTGTCCCAGCGGCCATCAGTTTGGCAATTCTGCACATAAACTTAAGCAAATTAAAATTAGTGATTGAAAATTTTTAAGCAAATTATACGTTTACAATGTAAGAAGGAATTCTATCCTAATTATGTCTTTTCTTTCTTAAGTCTTCGCGACGCCTTAACTTCCATACTCGGCGGTCCACAGATTAGGTTTGAAGCGCGAAATGCGGCCATATTTTGGCGCTCTATCTACTGTCAGCTGGTAATTAACATGCGCAGGAGGCTGTGTAGTGGCTCTGAGTCACGAAGCGGGTCTAACAAGGTATCAATACTAAGTCGGATAAGGAATTATACAAGAGTGTCACAGACAAGCGATGGTGAAAACTCAAAAACAAATTCCTTTTAAGTTTATGCAAGGTGCTATCCTTTTCCCCTAATTCTTCTTCTTGTGTGATTAAAAGTATTTTCAGAGAGTTAAGGAACATAGTAGATGATTAGCTTTAGTGGCTACAATGAAATTTGATCATTTCTCTACTACATTGTGTACGCTATACAGTAATAGATACATCAAAGGCCCTAAAATAGAATCCTGTTGTACACACTAAATTTTTTATATTTTTATTGGACTTTTAGACGTTGATAAAGTTATAAATGTTTGTAAATATTGAACAATGAAGTCATTTAAAAATAAATCCTTAATTTAGGAATATGATCAAATCAGTTGCCTAGTCTATATCTTTGGTATTCCGAATTTGGTGTTAAGCGTGAACTACATTTAGTTTGTCGTATCTCTACCGATTCGGTGTTATCTGAAGCAGTGCGTAGAACCATAATAAAGACGTGAATAGTGGGTTCGACGCAGCTGGTAATGAAATGAAGCTCAAAACTCCAACATAGATTCAAAGTTGTGGTTGCTTGATTTCTATTAACATTTAGAATAATTCTTTGGATATAAGTTTGATACGATAAACTAAGAACAAAAGAGCTAAACAAAACCTACATTGTACCTACTGCTTCGACCTTGTTTGTCTTTCATTTGTCATTTTAAGATATGGGATATCAAGTGGGATGAGTGTAGATATAAAAAACATATCGATAACCTAATTAACAACTCATACGGAAATACCTAAAATAAAATTGCAAAACGATAAATACTTTATCGAGCCAGTGCCGAAACCCGGGATTGAACCAGGGACCTTTAGATCTTCAGTCTAACGCTCTCCCAACTGAGCTATTTCGGCTTGTGTCATTTTCAGCGAAATTGGCGTTCCGACAGTGTGAACTTTGATGGCTACATACGTTGGCCCCAATGTTGGTCCCAACATCACTCGTCAAACGTAAACATAATTATGTTTCAACCAAAAGAGATCCACTGCAGGACACTGGTCCTGCGCTGTCCATGGTCCACCTGATGCCCAAGGGAACAAATCAATCGGGATCAAGGAATCAAGGAGCGAATTAATTTAGTTATAAGCAGGTATCGGAATCGACACACGAAATAGTTTAATTAGCTTTTTTAATTAAAAACCGGCAAATGGGTTAATTTATCTCAGAGATCTGCCACCATATACAAGTGGTAAACGTGACAGTTGTAATATCGAAATCACATCTCTCCGGCGTTTTTTTGTATGGCGTACCTAACTTCGCTCTGTAACGATGGAAGCGATTTCGAAATGGAAACTGTCACGTTTTCCTCCTGTCAAGAGAGACTCCCTAGACTAGACAGACCTAGACCTAGGTTTTAAAGCCTACTTAAATCAGCTCAGTTTTGGGCCGGCTATCGGCCGTCAGCCATAATTAACCGACGCCTCTGAGTCACGACCCGTTGCGAAACTATTACTATTGTTAATTGTTCCAAACGCGTTATCTTTGTTTCTGGCATTTCTGAAATAACACCAGTCCGATTTGCAAATGTAGCGCCGTGTTGTTTGCGTTTGCTGACTTGTTACAATTTCGTGTTAATTTTCAGATGACCTAGATCTTTCTGATCCGTTCCACAAACTGCAAATAATATTAGGGTTATCTATTTGCTGTCTGTCTTATTGGAATCATAACAAACTAGGTCTTCTATTTCTTCAAAAATAAATTCGGCATTTTACTACCCAATGGATTAGAAAATGAAACCAAAATACCTACTAAAAGACTTCAATTCCTATTTCTGTAGATTTTATTCATAAACTGATTTTCATAAGCGTTCAGTTTTAAGTTAACTAAAGCCCTCCCTTCAACATGTGGCATTTGTAAAAACCAATCAGAATTATTTTTAATATAGCTTCACTATATTCTAACTGAAAATGAAGTTGTAACTCGTAATGCACAAGCTTGCATCCGTAGGCTCCTACACGAGCATTGTATCTCGGATCTACACACTCGGACACACTAACCCATGACTTGGTTATCTAAAATCTCAGCAATAAACCGACAATTCGTTCTTTGATTGCCAATATACGGCTCGTTAAGAACAATCTTAATTGGACCATGAAAGCCGCATAAAGGCTCACTAAATTGCCAGTTTTAGATCCCCGAAGCAGTTCTGGAGATGAGGACCGTGTTGGTGTTTGTTTTCTTCGCTAATTATGCGTGGAGGGCTCAGGGGTATATTGTGGGAGCTGGGCGTAAGTTTGTGAATTGATTTTGTTGTGAAGAAACAATGAGTGACTATTAATGAGACTTTTTGTAACGATAAAAGGACATTGTAACTAATAACGGCACTTTATGTTTATTACCAAATATCTATTCGTCTAAGACAAGTCTACCCCAATAGTTGAAAGGACGCATCTAACACCAAATCAAAATGGAGATAAAAAAAGTTTCAAATGATTCCATTTCAATCATTCTTCATTCTTAGCTGACCTTTAGTTTAATCATAACCGCAAAAAGTGTTAGATGCGACTTTTAAACTATCGGAGGCAGAAGTGCCAAGTAAAGAAATTTTGAGACTTTCTAGAACATAGCTCAAGAAAATAAGTTGCAGCAATATTTATGTCCAGATTAAACTGGTCGTTAATGCAGCGCTAATAATGCCAAAACTGTCTAACAAAAATCTTTTACAATCTCATTTGGAGCACGAATCGTAAAACACGGCGCAGTAGGATTATACGGCACGGTTTAGTGTCAATGGAAGTATTACCATTGATTTCCATCCGCTTCATGCATTAATAAATCATGATTTGTAAAGCCATTAACTCTAAATGGGCCATAATACGTGAAAAGGAGATTCTAAATGCACATTGACTTTAATTTCTGGCTTCAAATGGATGGCCCTTAAAACTCACTATAGAAATGTCATTGCGCTTGAGACAGTTAACCTAATCATTTCAATGGCTTCGGTGATTTACATTTCTTGTTAGTCCATCAATCTGAGTTAATTTCCCTCTTATTTGTCTATTTAAGTAGAGCTTAGCTATTCAATAAGCCACGGCTAGTCCCTTCAATATTATATCAAAACCCATAACTCTTGATCCTAGATTATCCTAATGAGCAGAAATCCGAGGCATTTCTCTGCAGTCGCGTAAAACTCAAATTAGAGCTGATTTATCTAACAGTTTAGTACGGTAATGCCCTCGTTATCAGTTTGGAAGTGATTGATTCAACGATAAAGGTAATGGAGTCAGCTCATTAATAAAGTAATGCAAAAAGAGACATGTTAGTTCGGGATAGAGATAAGTTGAACTTACAAGTACTAGCGGATAGATAACTCGCACGATTTATAGTAAGTGGCTAAGTCACATTTTCGATCGGTTTTATTGGCATAATAAAGCTAAAGTTTTATGTTTTTACGGCAATTTAATTGACGGTTTTTGGAGCTTGACTGTTCTTTTATGCGTCGTATTTTTTGTTTATCAGTGAATGTTCGCTTCGCTCAAATGCTGTACACAGACAGCAAATATCAGGTGCTTCGGGAAGAGATGGTGAAGGTAAAAAAACACGTCAATTTTACTTATTTATTCTTAAATTCTCTTACCTGGGCATTAAGGATCAAGGGGCAATTAAAGGGATAAATTTTCCTAAAATAAGGAGTTAGTTAATTGATAAAATAATTTGTTAAACTTTTCACGTAGAATTAATATATTCAGAGGTAGGATTTGTGCCCTTGCTCAAATGCATGTTGGCAATGAATGCTACTAGCAAAGAATTACTTATACCATATTTAATTACTATTTTGCTACTTTAGAAATCACAGTACCTACTTCTAACATAGCCCGTAATTGTAATTCCAGGCCAACACCAGAAACCTGGTGTACCACTGTCGCTCGGACAAGACCGACTGCGACGCAGCCCTGGCCAAGATGCGCTATAAGGCCAGCAAGCACTTTTACGCTCTCTCAAAGGCGGTGGTGGACTATGTGAAGAACAAACGCCAAGCAAGGCCCACTGGATACGTTGGTACGTAGATAACTGAATTACGATATCAGTCAAGTGCCTATAAGCAGGTGACCTAGACGGTCGGTGTTTCAAATTCCAAATCTAATTGAGTTACACACGAATGAAAGTCAGGTGACAGTGCTTTATTGCTGCGTATAGGTTACATGTTAGAGATAATAGAGCCAAGACAACTGCAGATGACTTAAAGAAAAGCTTAATATGGTATGGACCTACTACTAATTGTGGTATGAACCAGCAATTACGACACCAGACACCAGTCAATTGGCAAACATTTTATGAGCTTCCAAACCGTGATTCTCTTATAGATTTTGAACGACATCTTTTCCCTGATTTCAAAGCCAGTAAAATGTACAGAAAATTTAGAACCAATTCTGTTTTTAGAACTGTAATATTTTGATAGAATAATATTAGTTAATGCGTCAACTACCTGCCCTACCCACTGTATTTTTACCACCAGGCTCAGCGACATTCTGCCAGGAAAACTCATGCGTGACAGACACGGATCCCCCCATCGTGTTTGGGGGGTGCTACACACTGATCTCGTGCGGAGGGAACCAGACCTGGCACCTCGACACTGTAGTCTACAAGAAAAAGAAGACCAGATTCTACTAGAAGATTCTTCTAGAAATATTTATATAGAAATATAGTGTTTCATTTTAGTTCCTAGTCTTTTTTCATCATTTTCATCTGTAGTCTATAAGTAGTGGGCCAGCTACAATGCTACATCTGTTAAGGAAATGAATGAGAATGCTTTCAATAATAGCTAGGTTTTTCTATCTGTCTAGAAAAAAAAATGGTCCCCTAACTGACATTCATAATAGGCCATTAAACCAAGCTTAACTAGCAAACGGGTGAGGGATGATGGATGAGATGAAACATAAAATAAAACTTGTGGGTGTCTGCAAAAGCATGTGGTATCCAAGACTTTTATGCACCTTTATCGAGAACTCTACATTTAAATAATTATTTATATTCAAATACTTTAGGGCATTCATTCAAATCAAAAGAAATCCTAATCAAGACTGCAAAAATAAGATAATCTTTTTCTAGTAAATACAACACTCGTAATATCAACACTTTGTCTAAAAGTTCATGAAACCTTTGACCACGATACATTACAATTTCATAACAGCAGCACCCAACACAGATTAACTATTAGATAGCCTCTCATAAAGTATATTTATTATTGCATGTCAATATAAACAATTATACTGCTATGAAATAAGCAGCCGCAGTAAATCAGAAGCTTTCGCCGGCTATCTAGGAGGTAGCTCTTTTTATGGTGCCTTAAAGCACAATATGAGAGAGTTATAAGCTAGAAATGTCATAGAGATAAATACGGATGGTAAATGGGACTAATTGATTCTACTAAGAAGGCTGGGAAGGGATCTGAAATAAGCAAGATAAGTATTCATTGCTTACAAAGATTTTTTACATAAATTCATTTTCTAATTACTTTGCGAACAATTTTATAGGTAACATAATCGTATAGATTATGTTATAATATTATAATGAATCTGTAGAGAGGTCAATTCTGTACCTACATGAAATATATTTTCAAAATAACTATCAGAGGGTGATAAATGATCGATACTGATGCCAAAAATGCAATTAGTAAAATTTTTGTCTGTCTGTCTGTCTGTCTGTCTGTCTGTCTGTCTGTCCGTCTGTATGTTCCTTATAGAAACAAAAACTACTCGACGGATTTTAACGAAACTTGGTACAATTATTCTTCATACTCCTGGGCAGGTTATAGTATACTTAGGAATTCCCACGGGAACAGGAATTAGCGGGAAAATCCTTTTGTATGAAAAATCTAAACCGCTTAAGTTAGACGCTTGAAATTTGGCATGCAGGTACCTTAGTAAATTTAAAGCTTAGTTACAACAGGATATTGCAAAATTCCCACGGGAACGGGAGTTAGCGGGAAAAAACATTTGTATGAAAAAATCTAAACCGCGTAAGATAGATGAAGGGGGTAAAACGGGATCCACGCGTACGAAGTCGCGGGCGGCCGCTAGTTAGTAATATTAATTAAGGTTAAGCCATATTATGTAATTGTTTGTTGTTCTGAATAAAATAGAATAAAATTCAGAAATGTTAATTAAAACAATATACCTAGTTGAAAGGCCATCTTAGATATGTCTTAACTTTTATGGAAACTGACATTAAAATTATATTGGTATTCTTATCGCGTACTCATCTCCTTCATATTAAATATTGTTTTTGCTCATACTTTTCAACAACAATCAACTTTAATTATTTAATTATTAATTTATGAAATAGAGATCTCGAGTTTTTTAAACTAATTGAAACGTTATTTTAAGTACAAAGTATCAGACAATTATTTTCGTCCAAAACCTCCACTTTAATGCACAAAAAACCCTTGTTTAAATGGCTTACCTTAATGACTCTCTCAAACAGGAATCTGTCTTTATTTTGGAAAGAAGGGTAAAATAATTATTAAGTAGAATTAATTCACCCAAACTGTTGCAATGCCCTTACGGCGCTCATGTTACGAGTCCATGCACTCTATATTTAAGATATCTACCTATGTATCAACAAGATACAAACTTGAGTATAGAATTAAATAAATATTTATTACACAGATGCATCTTAAACTGCACTTACCTACTCGTACCTCCAATACTAACGACATTGAAATAATACAATCGTTAAGCGTGATTAGCCCGCAATCTGGTTTAGAGTTCACGAGCAATCTCGAATAAAAAAGCAGCACCACCTGTTCATTGTGCTACAACAATAAGAGCATTGTTGCCTTATCTGATGGCGAGGGATTTAAAAGAAGCCAGCTGGCAGGGGGCGAGATGGTACGATGGCTGCCGCGACATGCCTGTGTGCGGGACTGCTCGCCCTCGCGGTGGTGGTCAGCCCGGAGATCAGAAGTAGCTTGGTGCTTAATAAGTAAGTAATAAAATAGTTTTAAAACTATCAATATTTTTTTAATGTGTTCTAAATTGCTGTCCGAGCAACGCAATATAGTGCCTAGAAAGGTGACTGCATTTCAAACACAATCTATAATATTATGTTTCTCTGTAATTATTATTTGGTTTTACAACTCGTAGATCTTTTTATTCAAAGTAAGTACCTATACAGGGTGGAAACTATAAGTGATCTCATTCGATTATTTCTAAACTATACAAGATATCGAAAAACTGGTTACTAATCCTGAAAGTGCTTCACAAGCTCTATCCAACGGTACCAATATTAGGTTACAGAATTAACTGGATCTATCAAAAATTGTATGTTTTCAGCCTCCATACTAAATGTATGCCAGCTTAACGATAATAGAAGTATTAATTTTTTTTTTTAAATAATAATTTTAATAAACACTTAAAATGACCTGGTAAATTGCATTCTTATTTAAAATTATTCTTGGAAAATATTGGTTTTAGGCTTTACTTGCTATAATATTAACAAGACATGAGTGCCATGACTGTGGCTGTACTAAATGTATGGAAGCTGGAAACATTGAATTTTCGAATGGATCCAGTTTATTTTGTAACCTATTATTGGTACCGTTGAATAGAGCTCGTGAAGCACTTTCAGGATCAGTAACCAGTTTTTAAATATCTTGTATAGTTTTTAATATTATGTGGTTTTACTAAATGTATGGAAGCTGGAAACATTGAATTTTCGGATAGATCCAGTTTATTCTGTAACCTATTATTGGTACCGTTTGAAAGAACTTGTGAAGCACTTTCAGAATCAGTAATCAGTTTTTCGATATCTTGTATAGTTTAGAAATAATCGAGTGAGACCACTTAACGTTTCCACCCTGTATAGTTAACAATCTAATCTAAACTGTGTTGCATCATGATCAATACCAAGGTCTTAGGTCAAACCGAATTAAACAATCGATATTAATTAACAAAAAATTAAGCAGCTTTCATCTTTTAACTCATCATTTTAATTAAGCCTCTTTTTTTATCACTTCATAAATTACTTCTTATCTATCTAGAGTCTACTTCGTTATCTATAGAGTCAGACACTCTTCTAGAGTCCAAAAAGTATTATGACAGTATTTTTTAATTCTATGTTACCAGTTTATTAGCCTTTAATTTTACTTAACTAAACTCATCCCCAGATTAGTAAAAGTGAAGCCAGTCGGTGGCAACTTGGCCAAGGCCTTCGTACCCCTCACGGAGATCCCTCCTCCCCACCTCCCCTTGGCATCAGGACGACGGCACTTCGAAGACTGCAGCCAGAAGCCCCCGGCCAAGGAGGTGTATGGAGGCGCCAAGGTGGACATCTTCGGGGAGTACTACGATGATATGGTGGCTAAGACTGTGGCTACGGTGATCTTCCCTGATCATATTGACCGTGAGTATTTATCTACCTAATTAATCAAGGCAAGTAACAAAAGACCTTTTGCTGACAAATACGGCATCTGTCTACAGGCCGATAGCTGAACAAAGACCATCCCTTAAAATGTCTCAGAGAGCTTCGTTTCAGCCAAATGATGTCCACTGCTGGACAAAGGCCTCCCCCAAGGTTTTCCATAATCTCAGAGAGCAGCTGTGGTCCATTTGCATATGGCAACTGCCTGCAACCTTTACTATATCAGTCGTACGAGCAGTACTTCCTCTTTCTCCTATTTATTTGTAATCTGAAAATTAAATCGCCTTTGTTGAGTACCTAGTGAACAGGTTTTTTCTCGAGCAATAAAGTAGTAGTAAAGCTATTTGAAAGTAGGTCCCAGTTTGTTCCAGACAATAACAAAAAAAAACAGACTGCAAGAAACACCTTTGCATACTTATAATAACATATTCTACCCACTACATACACCTACCTACTTTATAGGCCAGAAGAATTAAACACAAAAATTGATTAAATCGGAAATAATTCCTACAAAAGATTTTTTTTCTTTAATGGCTTCATTGGTTGCCCATTAAGACTCTCCTAAGTTTTCGACTTCGACGGAGTTGTGCTTAAGTAGTGGGGGCCCTCGAAAGGGGCGTTTTTTCGGTTTTCCGGATATACCGCGTAAAGGACTTACCCTATCGAAAAGTGGTCTTCATGACGGTTGAAGGGAACTTAATCCTGCATTGAATTAGACCAAATTCATATGTTTTGGACAAACCGTTCTCGCGCTAAAGTTCGGCAAAGTAGAAAATATACGTACAATTAATGACCCTCTCCACGTCCAATGGCTTGTTACCTACATGCTTCCAAGTCTTGAAAAGGGCCACCTCAACCAGTGTAACCCTATCAAGGCTTACGAGCTTGATGCGCCTATCCTTGTTCGTCCCAGCCGTTCCTTAACTGCGGTTGGTGCACCTCTTCCTTGCACTCTCCTGAACGACCCTGTGTTACCTACTGTGGCTGTCCCTCTTCCTTGCACCCTCCTGCACGACTACGTTGCTTAGCCGTATGCCTGGTCCAAGGTTCGACGCCAAAAAAATCAACAATAACAGATTCATATTTTTGGACTGCCCGTTCTCATGCTAATGCTCATCAAAGTTGTATAAATTTTAATTCATCAAAGTTGTATAATCAAATTTATGAAAATCTAGCCGTGATTTCGCATGTGCGGAAATGTTTTGATCATTTTTCCCCGTTTTCGCAACACTTGTCAGTGATGCTCTGCTCCTATTGGTTGTAGTGTAATAGCCTATAATCCTATAGCCTTCCTCGATTTATGAGCTTATTCAACACAAAAAGAATTATTCAAATCAAACCAGTAGTTCCTGAGATTAGCGCGTTCAACCAAACAAACAAAGAAACTCTTCAGCGTTTATAAGTAATACTATTAGTACTATTAATAATATCTTAGTGTTAGTGTACGTGTTATTTACATAGTACTATGTTGTATAATATGTCTAACATACTAGCTTTCAGTCGCGACTTTGTCATGAAAAATCTTATCTTAATACATGTAGGTAATTAATGTTTGTTGTTGTTCAATGTACTTACATATTTATTTGATTTCATGAGTTGTGTTCGTTCATTTTCCTTTATCATCAGTCGCAAAACATAATTATCAAATAAAAACTTTTTAAAAGGTAATATCTCTTTTAATATTCTACAAAAATCCTACTCCTACTAATATTATAAGTAAATGCAATATTGTTGTTTTCTTGTTACTCAATCACACAAAAACGGCTGAACGGTTTCGAATACAGGTCATACAGATAGACACCCAACTTTTTATCTCGAAAAAAGAACAGGAAACTGAACCGGGCCTGCTTACCAAGATATACGCGGACGAAGTCGCGACTGAAAGCTAGTATGTTAGACATATTATACAACATAGTACTATAGTACTATGTAAATAACACGTGCACTAACACTAAGATATTATTAATAATACTAATACAGTGTGAGTCACGTTAAAGTGTACATATGAAAATAGATGAAACTAGACCTATTTTTATCGACAAAAAAGAGGTCGAAAAATTTTTGAGATTTTTTTTAAATTTTTTATAGAATTTTTTTTCTTCCAATTTCTTATTGTAAAGAAAACGTAATAACTTTTAAACTAAGCGGTATATCCTGATAAAATAAAAACAGTAATAATGCTAAGTAACAGGCGATACTAAAAAAATACATAAAATACACAAAAAAGGCCAACAAATAATAAAAAATGATACTTTTTGAAAAAAAATTGCTTTTAAATTCGTGTTTTTTTGCTTATTTGATAAATTTCTCCAAAAAATGCCCCTATAACCGGTGGTTTTTATTACTTTGTATTATTCTCTATTGTATTACCTTCGTAAAACCAAAAATCGCATGTCTCTATCCCTATCACAACGTTTGCAATGATCGTTTGAACTAAGCCTCTCCGGGCGCGTCATTCAACGCTTCGTTAACAACGAAACTGAAAATGGCTCTAGATTTGTAATTTTGATAAAGACAAGTTAGATTTCAAATAAAAACAAAAGATTTCGAAGTAAAATAAGCATTTTAGTTAAAAATTAAAATTGTCTCTACCTGTAGCGGAGAATAATGTTGTGGCAGGCCTTTGTTCAAACGATCATAGCAAATGTTGTGATAGGGATAGAGACATACAATTTTTGGTTTTACAAAGATAATACGATAGAGAATAATACGAAGCAATAAAAAACACCTGTTATAGGGGCATTTTTTGGAGAAATTTATCAAATAACCAAAAAAACACGAATTTAAAAGCAGATTTTTTTCAAAAAGTATCATTTTTTATTATTTGTTGGCCTTTTTTGTGTATTTAATGTATTTTTTTAGTATCGTCTATTATTTAGCATTATTACTGTTTTTATTTTATCAGGATATACCGCTTAGTTTAAAAGTTATTACGTTTTCTTTACAATAAATAATTGGAAGAAAAAAAAATCTATAAAAAATTTAAAAAAAAACTCAAAATTTTTTTGACCTCATTTTTGTCGATAAAAATAGGTCTAGTTACATCTATTTTCATATGTACACTTTAACGTGACTCACACTGTATAGTATTACTTATAAACGCTGAAGAGTTTCTTTGTTTATTTGGTTGAACGCGCTAATCTCAGGAACTACTGGTTTGATTTGAATAATTCTTTTTGTGTTGAATAAGCTCATAAATCGAGGAAGGCTATAGGATTATAGGCTATTACACTACAACCAATAGGAGCAGAGCATCACTGACAAGTGTTGCGAAAACGGGGAAAAATGATCAAAACATTTCCGCACATGCGAAATCACGGCTAGATTTTCATAAATTTGTAAAATTTATACAACTTTGATGAGCATTAGCATGAGAACGGGTAGTCCAAAAATATGAATCTGTTGTTGTTGTTTTTTTGGCGTCGAACCTTGGACCAGGCATACGGCTAGGCAACGTAGTCGTGCAGGAGGCTGCAAGGAAGAGGGACAGCCACAGTAGGTAACACAGGGTCGTTCAGGAGAGTGCAAGGAAGAGGTGCACCAACCGCATTTAAGGAACGGCTGGGGCGAACAAGGATAGGCGCATCAAGCTTGTAAGCCTTGATAGGGTTACACTGGTTGAGGTGGCCCTTTTCAAGACTTGGAAGCCTGTGGGTAACAAGCCATTGGACGTGGAGAGGGTCATTAATTATACGTATATTTTCTACTTTGCCGAACTTTAGCGCGAGAACGGTTTGTCCAAAACATATGAATTTGGTCTTATTCAATGCAGGATTAAGTGCCCTTCAACCGTCATGAAGACCACTTTTCGATAGGGTAAGTCCTTAACGCGGTATAACCGGAAAACCGAAAACATGCCCCTTTCGGGGGCCCCCACCACTTAAGCACAACTCCGTCGAAGTCGAAAACTTAGGAGAGTCTTAATGAGCAACCAATGAAGCCATTAAAACAATAAAATCTTTTGTAGGAATTATTTCCGATTTAAAAGCTTATTCTACTGGACTATTAGTATTTTATGTTTCCTCTATCTTTCCCAGGCAAACACTTCGAAGTGACAACCGAAGTGCCTTACCTCACCGTGGGCCCGATAGAAGCTATAGGCTACCACCCGAGCACGCTCAAGAGTGACCACCCTGCTGAGTGTGAGAAGATATACCAGGACCACCTAGCCGAAATGTACTCCGATGAGACCACGGACTATTCCGAGGAGTCCTTGGAGATGGCCCGAATGCCACTGAGTCCTACTGCAAAACCATCCAAATCAGACGAATTCAACCTGGAAGACCTTTACGAGGACTTCGAGAGATAACTTTAGATCATTTTTGGTATTTTTGTACGTCGCTTTTGTATGTAATAAAATTGAAAATAATGTTGATTTTTTGCATTTACTTAAAACACGCTGTTGTTTTAGTTGAAATGGAAAGCGAAACTTTAAAATCTTATATTTTAAACACACTGTGTATAGAGTTCTACGTGTACTTCCTCAGACAATAGTCCATGGACCAAGGTTCAATTTCCAGCGTGGAAAAGTGATAAACCACTTATGGATATTTATTATGGATTATGGATATAGAACTTTAAGAAACTTCGTGTAACGAGCAGAAACAAATTTACATTCCATAGATGACTATACTGGGTTAGGCACTAAGGGCTATATTTCACCGGGACACCATGGCGGCGCAACCAGTCGCCGGCTACCAACAAAATGTACACAGCTCTATAGAGAGTTACTCACCTGGTGTCCGTTTGGTTGCGCAAAGCTGTATACATTTTGTTGGTAGAGGCGAATGGTTGCGCCGCCATGGTGTCCTGGTGAAATATAGCCCTAAGAGATTGATTTGGAAGTTGAAACAATTTATTGTTAAGCCTTTCCATTAGAAAATGAAGGCCTTTTTTGTGATCTCTACATTAGGTTGAAGTCGGTTGAGCACATTAAAAATTGACGTAGCACCGTAGAAGAGGGAATTAAGACCACATTTGATGGTAGAGACTGTTCTTACTTTTAAATTAAACTTAAGGCCCTTTTAACAAATAGTAAACTAGCAAGTACCTACACTTGCTTGGATGAAAACTTCTAATCTCCATCTGTCCTCTAGCTAGGAGGTTCTGGGTTCTTTCTATTCCTAAGTGGGACTTTTAAATAACAACACGTTCAGATCTTTGACACACTTTTAATATCTTACAATTAAATTATTAAATCTAACAACGGGATCTATGCAATTTATCTACATTATTCTAGGATCCTGCACCTCTTTCTTTAGTCTAGTGGCCTAAGCGAGCCCACGCACTAGGCAGCCTGGCAATCCCACATATATGAACACTCTTGGCTGCTTAGTGCCATACACCGTCATAATGTTCGACTGGCTGCCGCAGCCAGGCTGCCTAGTGCGCGGGGTCGCTAACTCGAGTTTAAAACACTATTCTATAGCTGTCAGTTAGTTTAATAACTGAATAAAGAAAGTGGCGCGGGCGCACTGAAGATTTAATTACGATACAACGCTACACCGGCCCAGCCTGCAGGTTGTACTTATTCGGCAACTTGACGTCCTTGTCCTTGTCGTCGAATATTTCTTCCGTGTCATCGTCATCGAAGTCGTCCATGTCGAGTGGATTCCTGAAATATCAAGTCAGAATTTTTAGATAATTCGTTGAGTAATAAAAATTATATCCTTGGATGTCTAAATTATCATGTAAATGTAAACTGTCGGTCTATTGTTTGTTACTTTGTCTGTTATGCAAACACTGAAGCATTTTTTTGAGTTTAGTAAAGTTATACTGGATCTGTGAAAGAACTTAACCTATCCCTCAACATTGTGTCGCAAATTCGAAATAAGTACTTGAATATCATTTCTTGTTTTGGTCAGTAATCAACTTTGTGATTAATAATAACCCAAGCAGTTGTCGGCATGAAATAGAAAGTAAAGCCATGTAAAGCTCTCAACAAATTATTTGTACGTAACTAATAGATAAATATTAATTTCACATATTCTCTACTTTCTTCGGTCTGTCGACATGACCAATGCATTATCGATAGATTAAAAACTGCCCTAAGGTAAAATAACTACCGTTTAAAATGACTAAAATGTACTTACTTATTCCAATCGATCTTATGCCTCTTCCTGTAATTAAATAAAAGATAAGCCGTTAAACTGATTACAAGTTTAGATTATTACAACTTTCACCGTCGATCTGATGACATAATTGATAATTTAAAGTTAAAAGTCGGCCTTTAATACAAAATATAATAAGTTACCTACTTCATGCAATATTAAAATGGAAAATGTAAGCAAGATAAAGATAATGGTAATTTAAAAGCTGAGAAACGAAGAGCTTTTAAAGTTATTTACTTTATAAACTGAAATATCTAGTCTTAGAACTACACTATCGTTTTTCTTCAAAAAACGTCAATTCCACTGACTCTACCACACTATATTTTATGGTACCTAATATTGAATACATTATGCACCAATTGATAAACGTAAATAACATTTTACACACATATGTGGAAATCCGTGGGAGGCCATTGTCCAGCTGTAAACGAAATTCGACTGAAACGAAGTTCTAAATTCGGCGATTTTCAGTAAATATTACCTGTTAGTAGCGATGTAGTCCTGATCCATATACTCCTCAGATATTTCCACCGACAACGGTTGCCCGCGGTGGTCTTGTAGGATGCCGAAGTATCTAGGCGCTCGTGTCACAGAGAATAAAAGTGCTGGGGAAACAAAAAGGTAGAGTCATTAGTTAATTTTATCAACGAAAATAATCTCACTTTAAGGTGCCTCTCGTTCCTGACGCTGAAACATCGGTGCCAAGATCTTTGACTTGACTACTAACGTAGGATGATAATCTCTACCAATTAAAGGCTGAATAACTAACTCAGCGCAGAGAAAAGTGCGAATTTGGTACAGGTACCTAATAAACTTTCAAAATATACTCTAAGGCTAAGGTTCCACCAAAGATTTACGAAATAATTTGCGATAAGGATGGTCACAGCTTAAGCAATGATTAACAAGACAGGGTTTAGGTAAATAGTATACCAAGCATATTTTAACATGTATGGTAGTGTCGGCATGGTATAACATTTACCTAACACCCTGTATAATAAAAAGAAATACCTACATAATTGTATAGTATAGGTATCTTGCAACTTACAATCATCAACGCCACAAATCCCTCGAATTATACACAAAACAATGAAAACTACATGCAACTTTAACTTTGATTCACTCATTTTTGTCGTTTTAAAAATATGACTTAAGACTTAAAGAAAATTATAATAATTTATTATTTAAAAGGTTCAAGTCATGCTAGCACACAGCAGAAGTTTTAATCCATCCGTCTAACCGATTGAAAACTTGACTGTTTCTTCAACATGGCGGTTGGAAATGGTCGGTTTTCGGCCACACAGTTTTAATGCCAATATTCGTAGTGTTTCTTATAAACTTCCTCGTGCAGTAGTTTAGAAAACAGCCCTTGTTTGGTGTTTTCCAAAATTGCGTCTAGGTGGGGAGAACAATTGAATTACACAACTCATGGGCACGTGATTTGAAGTCACGTGACAGGTGAAATCATAAAATATTTTTATGAATAAGTAGAAATAGGATAAACTTTAATTTTTAATTTGAATTTGAATTTGAATTTAGGATAAACTATTTTGTAAGCTGTCGTTCCAACTGAGGCATGACAGACATCTGACTCCACGCCGTGCTGTAACTTCAACCGCCTCTGGAATCTGTAGGAAAACCTCTTGTCTTAGAGCCAGAGGTCTCGGGTTCGATTTCCAACGGGGGCAACATTTATTGCTTGGTTTAGTTTCTAAGTCTGCCTACCTACCACCATACTTAGTCTGTCGTCTTAGCAACAATTTTCATATCATGTTAATTTCGGCAGATAGAGGTAAAAATAGCCGTTCCTCTGAGATTGAGCACTCTGAATAAAATTGCCTCCACTTTCATCTTGGTCATGATTTTCTATAAATAGATGTGATGTGCAGGTCAAGAGCTTTCGCCGTTGTGGATGAAAAAGACATTAAGTATGTACGTACGAATACGTTTTTCTTCTTTAAATTAAAGTAAATATGTACTGTGATTTCCCATGAAGCTTCGATTGCTAGATGAAACGTTTTGTTTGTGCATTTATTTAGTTGAACTTTTTTGGTTTCGTCCGAAAAAGATACCTATAATTAAGTACTTCACAGGCTACATTAAGTTGGTCCAAACTCCGAATGAGCCAAGTCAGACTATGGCGGTTCATAAATTCTGACACAGCGTGGTGTCCTCAGTTGTTCACTATAGCAATAGTTCACTCGTGCCACCACAGCGCACCCAAGCAAGAGAAGTATTTGGTAATTGATTTTGTACTTCCTTTTATAGCTCGATCCCAAACTTGTAAATGATAAGTGGGCAAGCCAATTCTTCGTTTCTGACTAGCCTCGTTCTCACCGCTATGCAACTACTGTGTACTTAGCCAGGATCTACATCTTTATCGCCAAAAAAACCAACCATCGAAGGCTAAGCTTATTTATTTTTGGGAAACATACAGTTACAATATAATTTAACTTATCCCAAAGGAAAGTTTACTTTAATCGAACCAGTATTCTAGTATCCAGTAGTATAGTAGTAGTTCTATCGCGTAGGTACTAATAAAACGACACATAAATTATTTCAACTCATTTAATCTTATTATAATACAAAGATCAAACTTTTAATGTTTCATGTTTTACACAAGGCTCCTTCAGTATTTTTCTAAAAGACAGCTATATTCCACTCAGAAGTAACTACACGTCTATCTTTTATAGAACAGATTGCCTTCCCCGCCCCAAAGTCTTCTGCCGCCGTAGCCGATCAGCTCCTGTCGCAGCGAGTTGTACTTCTTGAAGAACAGCTTCTTAAGTATGCGCTTTCGTCGCTTGTCTTCCTTTAGGCATGACTCAAGTTTGTCCATGCAGACGTCCTCTCTGAGAAAAAAGTGTATGTTTTGAAGTATTTATTTTCCAAGTAATAACTTTACTAGACAACAGTGTAGTAACATCCTTAATTAAGCTTATTAGATCCTTTGCTACGCTACTTAGCACCTTAAAACTTAACTTAAAAAACATCAATCTTAGTTTAATTCTGGCGCCCAACGTGGGACTGCTAGAATCACCACAGTGACCACACACTCACTTGTAGTTCTGGTCAAACAGCAACTTGGAAGGCTCGGTCTTCGTGAACTTGTCTGGAAGACGAGACCCTGGGGGCATTTTCGCCAGCTCCTTCATAATTCCCATGATCGTGTTCTCCAGTTGAGCCAGTTTTGGCACCATGAGTCTTTTGATCACCTGAACATAAAGTAACTTTAGTACGTATAAATATAGGTAATGACTTACAAGGAAATAAATTGAACGCTGATGATTCAACATAAAACTGCAATGATAATACAATAAATTATTTTGGGCCTCCATTTAAGAAGTTTTTAATCATCAGATAACAAAGACTTAGCAATATCAAATTGTACCTTCCCACATCGATTCCCAGTTTTACAGGGTGTTCTAAACTTCCTGCCCAGGTCCATAGTCGGCAGGTTCTGGATTTGGGTGATCACATTCGAAAATGTACCCACGGCTGTTTTTTGAGCTGGTAAAGGAAAGCAAGTGAGGTAAGAAGCATTGACAAAGTAGTCCACGTTATAGTACTTCACGAAATTTACGACTCATAATATTCTCCATCAGTTTGTTAACACCCGATTTAAATATTTTAAGTTAATACTTCCAATTAAATTTTTCTTTTACTCACCCATCTTATTCCTTCTCGTCTTCCCTACCCTAGCAATATCTGTCCTCTCATCAGAGTTTTTCCCTCCTTGTACTAATGGAACTACAATTACGAATATAAAAAAAGATTTTACCGCGAGATATTTTTTTAAATTCATAATTTCATTCGACGCAACACCCGACTAGAACGACTGTTGGTAATGAAAAGGAAGGAAGCCGAGGTTTCAAGAAATTATTTTCCAAACATCTACATACTAACGACCATTAAAAACTCGCTAGTGTAAGAATTATATCAGAAAGGGCGTGTTTTGTAAATACACTGAGCTACGGAATAACTGACGATAACGCGAAATCTTAAATTTTGCGCTTTATTGCCATAATCCACAAGTGCACATTTACGTGAAGTGATGCACAATGTGCCCTGTATGTATGTACAGCTAGACGACAATAATGAAATCTGACTTGTTAATTAAGTTAACTGTTAATAATGTTTTCATTCCCAGTTAAACTGTCTCTAAACAAAGTAACGCACAATGTTTTCGAGTCGCTTTCCTAACAGATTTTCAAACCTTCGCTCCGTGATTTTTTTAGAGTTTCGGAGTCATTTTTAAAGGCCAAGTGACACACAATCTGATTTGTGCAAGAGGGGCACCTCTTGCTTTAAAAAAAGGAATCAGGAAATGTCAGATATTACGCTCAAAGACCTAATGCCCAACTACATGATGTACGAAAAAAAAAATTTACACCACACAAAATTGACAGAAGTGACAAACGGTAAAATAAACATGTTTTGTTTTGTTTTGTTTGGGACTGAATTTGGCATTTTATTTTTAGGTTATTTTTCTTTCTGATGTTATTTTTATAATTTCCTATTACTTTGTTTGTTGTTAAAATTTATCATTAGATTCAAAATTAACTTATTAAAACACTGTGTAAACGTCCAAGGTTTCTAACGCTAAAAATGGAGACATCAGATGATCCTGACAAAAACAAGAAACCTTCCATCAATGGATTTACAAAAGAAATTAACACAAGTGCGCTGATTTGGCCGGATCATATCACTTCAATTGATTTAAGCAACAAAAACTTGGTGACTGTGGACGATTGTGTGAAATTCCCGCCAAATGTAGTCGATTTAAATTTGGCTTACAATGCATTGCGTGAGATTCCTTCTGCTGTACTCGGAATTGCGAAACTAAAGAATTTAGATATATCAAACAACAGTATTAAATATTTTGATGACACTCCTAGCTTCTGCCACTCTATAGAAACCCTTAAACTTGGGCATAATAGTTTAGAAGGACCTCCTTACTGGATCTGGACAGCAAATCCTAGAAATCTCACCCACTTAGACCTAAATTACAACATCGATATAACAGAATCATTTAAGAATGGTTACTTCGAAGAACTATTGCAGTACAAAACACCAGTTGTACATTTAATCATAAATAATTGTAAAATTGGAAAACATTTGGAGCTGCTCAGCACATTCCCTAAGGTTAAAGTATTGGAAATAGGTTCAGAGAAGTTAAGCCACTTGTTCACCAATCGTGTCCTAGAAGTGCCTTGCGGAGGACTCGAGAACTGCTGTGATTTAGAAAAGTTAAACTTAAGCAATACCCATATTTATAATGTAGTTGCTAATATAGATATGTTTGTTAGTTTAGTAGAAATAAATTTATCACAGAATTATATAAGTGGGTTACCAAATGAGTTTTGTAACTTACATAACTTGAAATGCTGTATTTTATCATTCAATCAGATTTTATATTTGCCCGACGAGATGAGAAAACTCAAAAACCTTGTAGTACTGCTTGTTGACAGTAATGAGTTGTGTACTTTACCGGACAGCTTAGTTGACTTGAAAAATTTAGAGGTTTTGGATGTTTACAACAACTGCCTCTATGAAATCCCTGATGAGATAATGAAATTAGCAGAATTGGACTTGGCCCAAAATTATTTTGATGAGCCAGATGATGAAACTTATTTAGAAAAGAAAGAAAAATTAAGACTGAATATAGAGGACAGGTGTGATGGCAGGTATGAAGCTTATAAATAATATTTTAAACTTTTTATTAAATTATCCATGAATTAACTCCTGATTTTATTAATTTCTAGAAAGCTAGAACAAGCACTACCTGATAGTGAACATTCTTCAAACACCACAGACGATGAAGAATTAATACAACATCTGGAAAATATTTCTAAAAGTAAAAAAGGTAAAGATTTGATTGGTAATGCTTTAATGTATGAACCTATACCTGTAGCCTGAAAAAATAATTTAACCCTCCAAGTTCTAATTGTATGTTTGATCATATGTTATCTTTATCTTCACAGAAAATATAGTCAGAAATGACCCTCCAAGTTCTCCAGAAGACTGGGACTCTGACGATTACTGGGTGCCACGGTTTTGTAGTGCCACTTCTCTGACACCACACGAAAAATGGATTGAATTTGTCAAGAGAAAAATGGAGGCTGGAAACTTTTGCCCTGTGGATGCCCATCCTGTGTCCATCACTGAGAAAGTTAAATATGAGAAACTGTGTAACCCTCAAATTGTGCAAGAAGTGATTGGACAATTTGATGACCTATCTGATGACGATAGTTAATGACTATAATGTTTTTAGTAATAAGCTTAGTATGACATTGAAAACTGTAAAGTTATATGTATATATGTGTTGTTTGTTGAATATAAATGTTCCATTATTAATGCTATTGCCACGCCAATGCAGTTTTTATGTATTTTGCATGTGTGCACAAGACTGCAATGTTGAGTATTTAGAGATATTAAAAACGATGTTGACAGATAATAATTAATTGTAATGCAGATTGTTTGTAAGCAAAGAACTCATTGATGCTGTAAACAATCCAGTAGACGGAGGAAAGTGATTGTTTGGTGTGACTATGCCACTGCAGCCAGTTTCTATGTGCCATAGAGCAAAGATTTCTATGGTATACATATTTTTGTCAAATAGTACAAAAATATCATCCAGGTCATAATTATCCTGTATGGTACTGCCTCGGTGAGTTCTTTGTGTCATTGACAAACCATATTATTATAGGTACTAAGATGCTATTGTGTTGTGAATAATAATTAGTTAAATCAGCTATAAAAAGCCATAATTTTGTGTTCAAACTATAACTTCGAATGCTAGAATAAGTTAGCATATTCAAGATATTTTTGTTATGAATATTTATAGTTGGAAAAGGGCCCAATTCCCAAATTTTCACTTTATCTACCTTCACAATCACAAATGTGTGAGCTCTTATTATTCCTCTTTATTCACATATAAAAAACTCAATTCTCAATCCTATAAATAGTGAAAGTTTCCAGGATTAGGCCCCACCTACTAGAAAGGAAAGTTAAGATAACTTAGTAGGTACCTACTTTCAGAATACAGTCTTGAAGAAGAGTTTATTTTTCAATATATTGTTTACTCTCGTTATGTTTTTAATTGCATGATGTTATTATTTTCAAGACTAGTAAAAAAACAGGTACACACTCATATATCATTTATTTATAGACTGAATCTCTTTTGGGAATAAAAATAAGTTAAAATTAAATGTAATTTTCATTTCTTTTAAAATATCTTCATGAATTGTATTTCTGTTTTCTCTAGTTACCTGAAAAAATTGGAAAATATTTTACAGGCGTCAATAATATTTTCTTTAAATCCAATTAAATCTGCTTATCTGGAAAATAAGTCATGTTAACATTCAAAACATGTAGGTATTTTTAAAACTTACCATCCAAACCTTAGCATCTCTATTATCCCTAAGAGACTCAATAAGGAGATTGGTGCTCCTTGATGGTATAGTAGCCAGAACAATACAATTTGAACCTGGTTTGAATATTTCAAAAATTCTGGCTCTGAATGAGGCACTCATTAACTCCATTGTGCCTATCTCATCAATGACTAATAAGTGTGGCTGGGAATCGTCTTCAGGCTGTAAATAAACAATGAAAACTTAACGTAAGTAACTACTTTATCAGTGAGGAGATACTACCTAACTACAATATTGAAATAGCTGACCTCTTTCAGTGAAGGTAGTGCAACATTCTCAAATTCTTCTACTCTCACTCCGTATTTTCCAACTTTGAACTTTACAGGGCCATTTCGGGAACAGTCTCGGGCTAGACACCCTCTGCGTCCGTCCAATGACACAACATCAAACCCCTCGCGAACGCCGGCTCGTCGCACTTCTTCGGTGTAGAAACCGCTCGTTTGTAAACCCATTTCGTTGACAAGAGAACACAGTTTTTTAGTTAATGTGGTCTTTCCCACGCCTGTAAATAAACCAACGTTTAAAATATTTCTTAGAACAAAACCAAAATTCATTAAATCGAACGAACCTACCTGGATCGCCGGTAAGCATGAAATACTTAATTTTCGTCATATTATTTTAATTGTCGAAAAACAATATTATTACAACACCTCAATAATATTTAAAACACCTGTTTTCAAGCAATTACATTTGATAAAAATGCACAACTTTATTTTTTGAAACCAGACCAGCTGATTTTTGTTTTGACAGTCGCTGACTGAAAAACTATAAGGTTTTCAGCTGATAATATCAGCCTGATATCACTGGGTAATTGGGTCACTATCGATAAATATCATGTTACTTTATCGACTCTTTTGAAACACTAGATGGGACAGCCGACAGCCGGTATCTCTTTGACATTTGTTATCAACGAGTATCAAAGTTCATCCAACATTTTTGGAACAGCCACTTTGTTGAAGTTGCTTTTGCGAAAGGCAAAGTTTTATTGACTTTCGTCAAACTTCAATTTTAAAATGGCTTCGGTTGGTTCACTAACTCGTGTTTTGCTAGGGAAAAATGTTGTCAACACTAGCCGTGTGGCGACGCTCTCAAATACCGGTTTGGTGAAGTTCTACAGTGCTGGTGAGAATTTTAAGTACCTAATTAACAAGAGTAAATATCACATGGCTACCTAATGTTTAAGAATACATTAAACTAACATTTCAAGAGTAAGTTACATTAAGTCCAACTAATTTATTAAAACTTACTAATTAGGTGCTGTTGTTTTCATCTTTGTAACCTATCTCTACCAGAATGACTGTAATAAGTAACTAACTACCATAGAACTTTAGAAGAGTATGCACTAAAATTATATAATATCTACTAACAAAGAATTACTAACTTCACCGAAGAAATTTCCTTGAATTAAATTTGGTATCAAAGACCTATTGAACTGCTGATTCCTATGACCTTGAAGTTAACGTGGCCTGCATTGAATTTTTACATTAAAGTGATCATAATTTAGCTATCATAAGTCAACCTGTGAAAAGCAACTTAATTTTAATAAGTTTTCTTTTTTTTTTCAAAGCATTATGTATAATTTTATTAAAAGTCAGTTTACAAGTTGAATCATGATTAAATTAGCACTCTGAATTGATTTTAAAAATGTTTAGAAATTATAAAATATCTTGCATGTCAGTTTTTCTACAAGATAACCTTGACTGCTTATTACAGTCACTTTAGAGACCCATATAGATAGAGAGAGATTAGGCTATCAAGTAAATATTTAGTGGGGGACCGCAGTTATCACTAGCTAGGGCAAAGATATAAATAAATATAACTGATCACAAATGTATGATATAACAAAATAAATTATTAGGTAACTATGATAAGGCAAATTACAAGTTTCAATCTTCGTTTAAAATTTTGTTATCTTATCATCTTTGCACGACTTTCGGTAATAACACCGGTCGTATCGTAATATTTTAAGTGATATTTTCTTCCATTACTTTTTAAGGCTTTGTTGAAGTATCTTTTTTACAAAAAGAAGTTCTACCCACAAAATAATATAATTTTATTAGTGTTATTTTTTATTGATGATAAATAAGCACAGTCACTGCTTATCTAGACACGCGTTAGCGTGTCAAGCCAAGTTTATATTATACCTGCTGTAAAATCATCATGATGGGACTTTATCAATATTGATATTAAAATGATGTATTTTCAGCCCCGTCATACGAAAACATCAAGACTGAAGTGGTTGGTGCCAAGAAAAATGTAGGCATCGTCCAGCTGTACAGGCCCAAGGCCCTCAATGCACTCTGCAAGCCCCTTTTCCAGGAACTGGGTCAAGCCGTCAAGGCCTTCGATGCTGATGACTCAATCTCAGCCATTATTATCACAGGTTTGTTTCCAATATCTTAGTATCATTTTTTGAATAGAGCTAACTGCGCACCTCGCTGGCATGCGATTCTCCCTCCCATTCGCCCGCACACCTTCCCACATTCGCCCCGTCCGTACCAGAGCGTCGATGTGACGTCACGGCTGTCAGATGCGCAGTTAACTCGACCAGGTTGTACACTTTAAATTGTATTTCTAAATGGAAATCCCATAAATTTCTTATTTCCAAACCGGGTTCTATTTGTACAGTCTCAAGAACTGATCCAATTCAAAATATATTTCGCTATCAAAAAGCTCCAATTTAAAAATAGGTATCCAAATATAATTTGACTTGCAACATTTTCAGGTAATGAGAAAGCTTTTGCTGCTGGTGCCGACATCAAAGAGATGCAAAATAACACATACAGCTCAAACCAGAAAGCAGGGTTCCTGCAAGAGTGGGAAGACATCAGCAACTGTGGCAAGCCAATCATTGCTGCCGTCAATGGTTTCGCTGTAAGCAAAAATAATTCATTTATATAATGGGGATGTTGCTTGGGTCAAAAAGCAAGAGTTTTAATTAGTCCGTCAGTTAACTTATCAAAAAATACTCTACACGTATTTTTCACTTTTTCAAACTAATGAAAATTTAAAGAGATAAAGCGCCCCAAAGTTCATAAGAAGAGGCCCGTGACGTCAACGCTTGCTTAAAAATGCCGCACGTTGTGACGTCGTGCGCAACTTCAACGCACCATAACTATGTAATTATTTGTTAGATTGACAAATAAAAATATACGTGTCCAATATTTTTTGATATTAAACATTACGGACTAAAAAAATTTTTTTAGGCAACTAGTCTTTCTTCATTGACTTTAGTGTAAATATACATATTTACTATTATTTCAATATTGATTAGCTTTATTTCTTAACTGGTTTACATCACCGGATGTTACAACTGCGAACTCTATTGTCTGCTAACTTGAATATTGTAATATCATTTACAAAATAATATGACCTTGGCGATCTTTCTTTCAGCTCAATAGCGTACTAAAGCGTACAATACCTATCAATCAATATGCTCATTTTCGTTCAATTTCCTTAATGTGCTCCTGGACGCCTTCAGCAAACTACGATATTATTGTATATTGAGTGCTTGATAAATGACTTCCCGAGATATCGAAAAAACGTAGGATAAAATATAAACATGTACATGTACATGGCGTGTGAAAGTGAAACTTTTAATATACCAAACTGTATTTGTTCAATAAGCTTGGTGGAGGTTGCGAGCTCGCTATGCTCTGTGACATCATCTACGCCGGCGAGAAGGCCAAGTTTGGCCAGCCTGAAATCAACATTGGAACCATTCCCGGAGCTGGAGGCACCCAGCGTCTACCAAGATACGTCGGCAAGTCTAAGGCTATGGAGATCGTTTTGACTGGCAACTTCATCGACGCCCATGAAGCTGAGAAAATGGGTAAGAGCATTTTTATTAACTTCAATTTTCACTAAAATGTTACTTTACATACTATAACTAACCAATATTAGTATAACTGCTGTACAAACTACAAACAGGGACACAAGTAGAAGATAAGAAAAAAGAGCTTCTTATATCGATCATAATCGATGCAAACTGACAAACTAAAACATTATATTAATACTAAATAGTGAACAATCTCTATAATTAATACTTCATACCGACCATAAATGTCATACATATAAATACGTACTTGTACATAATTTCTATGTTATATTTTCAAGGCGAGAGTGAATAGGCACTTACAGGGCAGATATGTACCATCCTAGACTGCATCTCACTTAACACCAGGTGCGATTGCGGTCAAATACCTGCCTTGGCTAGCATAAAAAAAAAATATTGTTTATCAACAGGATTGGTGAGCCGCGTGTTTCCAGTGGACAAGCTGTTAGAGGAAACAATCAAACTCGCTGAGAGGATCGGAACGCACTCGCCTCTGATCGTAAAGATGGCGAAACAAGCCGTCAACCAGGCCTATGAGACCAACCTCAAGGCTGGTCTTCAATATGAAAAGTCTACCTTCTATGGCACCTTCGCTACTGTAAGTATTTATTAAACCAATCGAGATTTGTAAGTCATTTTCACAGTTTCTTTTACACTTTAAAGTCCTGCTTAAAAGTAAAGTTCGGTACTTAACCGCAAATTAAAATAAATCATATTATCCCTCATCTATCTATCTATCTATATAAATAAAAATGAATTGATGTTCGTTAGTCTGATTAAAACTCGAGAACGGCTGGGCCAATTGAGCTGATTTTGGTTTTAAAATGTTTGTCGTAGTCCAGGGTAGGTCTAAACCAGTCTTTCCCAAAGTGGGCGATAACGCCCCCTTGTGGACGCTGCAGGCTTAAAGGGGGGCGGTAAGAGACCCAGAAAAAAAATCAGGACGTTGTATAGAGGCTTGGGAGGCGTCATTTACTAGGAGGTCTCTTAGACACCGACTGAGCACTCGACTCTCGACTACAAATGGGGGCGCTAAAATGAATTTATTCTCAAAGTGGGCGGTAGACAAACCAAGTTTGGGAACCGCTGGTCTAAACGGTGAGGAAATACGCGCGCGATATTGTTTTTCTGTGACAGACAAAATTCCACGCGGGCGAAGCCGCGGGCGGAAAGCTAGTAAAAAATATTACTGAAGGAATTCGTTCGTTCGTTTCAGCCAATTGACGTCCAGTGCTAGATAAAAGCTTCCCCAAGGAAAGAAGAAATAATTAATTTATTATAATTTATAACAAAAGTAATTATTATCTTGTTTACAGGCTGATCGCAAGGAAGGTATGACTGCATTTATCGAAAAGAGAGCGCCCAATTTCAAGAACGAATAAATGGTGCATTATATAAATTTAATTATATTTTTCGTGCCGCATAGATTTAAGCAAAAGTGCAATCAGGTCTGTCCCACTTTTATATTGTTAAAAAATGTTATACAGAATGAAAGTTTATTTTCGAAATATTTGTATTATTTACTCCTATAGACATTTCATAATATGATAACTGTGATTACAAGAATTAATTGAGATTCTATCTTTACACCAACGTTATAACTATTATTATATCATCTAAAAATCTATATATCCTAATACTTTTTATTTCAAGTGAAAATACTTATTAGTCACTATTATTTATACTATCGATAAATTACGCTCCGTTTTCTTTAGAAGTCGCATCACTATAGAAAATAATGTATGTCAGTTTCGTCTAAAATGTCAGCTTCTATAATGATACCAAATTAAAAAGTGGCCTTGTATTTTGGCGAAAGGTAGAAAACGCCCGTATTTTGACATTTCCACTAGCGCCACCATGAATTGGCAAATGCCTCGCCAATCTGTCTGTTTATTTGTTGTTCCGCAAAAAGTCTCGACGACAAACAGAAGAAATTATATTACCTTGTTTTAATTGATTAATTAGCATAAGTAAGTCATCAAAGCAAGTATGCTAAGTCAGCGCGAGTGCCGCGAGTAGTCTTACGTGAAATTTGGATCGGGAAGCAAGTGTTTTGTGTGATAAGTGTTTGCAATCCAGTTCCCATGTTTTGGGATCATGTTTACCGAAACAGACACATTATGCAGGAGTTTGAGGACATAGAAGTGCATAAAACTAGTGTGTCAGTCTTTGTAGCGTTGTTTTATTTAGAAATGCTGTATATTCTGATCATGACGCTGTCTATTCTCAACAGGCTGAATCAGCAACTACCCTCATAAATAAGTACATACCTACATAGCTTCCAGAGTTCATAGGTATCCAATCAAATTAAGCAAAACATGTTTTTTACTTATTCTTTGTGACTTAATACCAACTGAAATCATTGCTTGTTATTAACAAGCTTTAGTTTCACCTGCCCCTACTAACAAATTAATCTGCTATTTCTACACTGCTTCACTCATGCACGCCTGATAGATTGTGCAGCTCATATCCTATTAACATAAAAATCATCATCTTTTATAACCTAGGTAGTCATTTTAAAGGATTAAAAAACAAATTAGTTTACTTGTTGAAAATCAATACCTATCACTGGATGCTTAATGGGGCTTCAGCATTTATTATGCTAATGATATCTAAAACATTATCTTCCATTTGAAATAAAAAATACTGCTTTGGGTGGAATGAAAACCCATAATCTTTTCACTATACATTTTTGAGTGATTTTTATGAGTTGAATTCAAGCCACCATTATTCCAAGAGTGATTGGTTGTGTATTATTAAACACTTTAAGCAGTAGTTTTAAACAAATACCAAGAACTAACTCAGAAGCTAGATAATTGTTTACTCACTGCATAGGAAATAACTTACTCTGGTTTTAGGTGTAAGTAAAATATTTCAAAATGAATGGATACCCTAAGCCTTTGGCAGAGAGGCTTTACCTGCACAGGGATGAGGACGATGAGATATTTGTAGATGCTTTACTACACCAGCACCAAATTGACGGCATCAGATTTCTCTACAAGCAGTTTACCAAGGTAAACCTTATTTTGGATATGAAATATCTTGCCTTGTATAGGTTTTGTATTGTTTGCTGACTGTTTTTTAATACTATAATTCGGGCCTCTTCAAAGTACAGTGAATAGGCGTTTTCTGGGCAGGTATGTACCACCCTATACTACCTGCAAATAGGCAGGTAGTCGCCTTGTTGTGCAAGAAAAAAATGCTCAATATTCATACCTATTAATTTATTGCATTTTGTTTTTCAATAATATACAATGAACCCTATTGAGCATTTTTAGACTAACTATGCATGTTAAACTATTTTGGCTTCAATTAATTAATTAGGATTCCAATGTAGAAGAAACATATTTAAGTAACATGAAAAAATGGAAGTAATATAAGAGGGGATTTTTCTACTCTCTTATTTAGAGAAATGCAGCAATGCGACTGATAGATATTATTTCGTAAATTTCAGAAAAGTCCGGGTGTGGTCATCAACAATCCTCTCGGTTATGGCAACTCCATGATAGTGGCGCTGTTTCTTGGCGCCATCCGCCACTTGCTGGAGAAGCCTATTCTGATAATTTGCGAGGATGGCCAAGCGTTGAACTGGCTGGAACATTTCCAGAAGTTAACACACTGTTATAATGGTGCGTATTGCTATTATATTTCATTTTGCTTGTTATTTATTGTTAGTTTTTAATTTATTATTTGTGTTACTTACTTTTTAAGTATCAAAGTTTTATTAAGTCTGTGTACACTTTTAGCACTTGTAGAAAGATAAATTAGTTATTCAGACAAACAAGAGTAATAATAAATCAGAAAGGTGATAGTTATTTTGTCAGCATAGGGTAATCTCATAAATGAGAATGCCTTGACCTTTCTGACGATTAAGCACTTTAATCTGTGTTATTTGTTGTTTTAATAGTTATTGTGTATTGCAAAGATACTTTGTAATGTTAAGTTTTAATAATGTTACGATTTATTTATTTCCTCGTCATCATTCCTGCAGTAGAGACTAAAATAAATGACCTGATGATAATTTGGTCTCTACTGAGCATGACCCTCACTAATACCAGAGGCTGTTTGTTTTTTTGTTAAAGTCCCGTTAACACCTCGTAATAAGCTAAACATGCTTGTATTCATGAGTTCACCCTAATAGTCGAGCGGCGGTGGAGTTCGAAACAGCGTTCCTCAGTACCTCTAGCATGAACAACTTTCGTCTTCGAATCGTTTGCGTATTCGACAAAGATCGATACTCAACTTTCGAATTAAACGATAACGTGACCATTTTGATTCTCAAAATAAGTTTCGTGCAACCATTTCTCATACTAAGTTCACTTTACGTACGACAAGTTCACAAGGGCGCTGTTGTAGTTTTCGTACTTAATCTTTTGATGGCGATTAGAAATACGCAAACAATTTGAACTCGAAAGTTTTTCGTGCTAGCCGTAGATGTCGAGTCACCAGACTCACCAGTACGACACCACCATTTGGCTATCGAAAAAAAGTGGCGAAAGAAATACAATTTCTATATTATTACATAGTACATAGTACAAGCATTGCTTAGTTCGGGACTAGAAGCGCAGTGTAAAATGTCCAAAGATATTTATTTATTATTTATTTATTATTATTTTGTTTCGTTGTTCCACGTAGTCGGCATAGCAGCGGAGAGTCCCTTCGTGAAGAAATCCATCTTCATCAACACCATGGCTCGCCTGGAGCAGTTCAGTCGACGGGAATGGAGCGTAATGGTGGTGGATAACGCCGCCTTCCTCAAGGAGAAAACCATCCAGGCTAAATATAAGGCAGACTTCAAAATTTGGATCACACCCGATGATATGAAGGTATGGTTTTTTTTTATAAAATATACCACAATCCTTCTAATATTATAAATGGGAAAGTTTGTGTGGATGTCTAGATGTCTGGATGTCGGGATGTTTGTAACTCTTTCACGCAAAAACTACTGAACGGATTTTGATGAAACTTTATAGTATTATTGTTTATGACCCAGAATAACATATAGGCAATAAATTATGACCATCTTGACAAACTAAATTTTACGCGGGTGAAGCCGCGGGCAAAAGCTAGTAATATTGTAAACGAAAGTTTGTGACTGTGCGAGTGTGTATTGTTTGTTACTTCTTTATGTCTAAACGGCTGGAGCGATTTTTAATAAAATTGGTATGGAGTTTAGCTGAAACCCTGGATTAACACATCACAATCTTAGCTAACATACTAAAAAGTTAATTTCTGAAATCATGGATAATTGCAAACAAAATGAAATGAACCAAAATATTCTATAATCTAATAGTCCTCCATGCATTGCATCTTTTCTACAAGATAGCAAAATAACATTAACATCAGCAATTTCTTTTTACAAACACTTATTTGATTCGTCCTTGTTTTTACTTCTACAAGTTAATAAAAATTAATTTTCAGGACCATCTTGATACATTCGCTTCTATCCACAAGTGGCTGTTCCCAAACGAGAAACTGAATATTGACAATTTAAAGGCGAAACCTGGAGATATCAAAGATACTATCGCCAAAACCAAATTTCTTGACGCATTTCTACAAGACAAAGTGTTCCGAACACACTTACTTACACCATTTGAGGTATATCTTAATTATAGATATAAATACTACATTATACTATAAATATGTCTATAATATCCTACACACTATTATTTTATAATCTTTATTATCTTTATTTATCTTTATTAACTATAAATTTTTTGTCATTACCAACAGAATCCTTATTCAAAATCTGAACGAACTTCTACACAAGTATCCAAGAAAAACAAAGATGCAACAGGGACCAAAATAAAACGTTCCAAACGGACGTCAGAATGTGCCAGCACCTCTACTGCAGTGCCGTCAACTAGCGATATGGAACCCGGGCCCAGCGCTGTCAAGATACCTAGGAAGGCTACACAGGACAATGCAGCCGATGACTTCACTATAGATAACTTTAAAAACAACAATGAATCCACTACAGTAACCCAAGACTCAGATGACAAAACTCCCGAAATGGACGTCGAAAGCTTCATACGTAACGAGGAACCAGTCCAATACGATCCATTCAAAAAATTCATGCAAGATTATGATAACATATCACACCACAGCGAGGAGGAGAGTCGACCCGAATTCATAGAGCAGGAACCGCAAATATTCCAGTCTCCCGAGAAATTAGAAGGTATCAAGGTATCATCAGGCGTTCCGATGGATTTCACAGAAAATGTAGAGAGCTGTTTGGTAGATAGCGACACGAATTCCGACAATCTCATGCAGAGACCCAATTTTTTTGTAGAAACATCTCAAGATACCAATGTCAGTGATTATGATATAGAATGCAAATTGCAGTCGACCCCGCCTGATTTTCTCACTGATAATATTCTGAATGAAATGAAAGATGAATTGTCAGAGACCAATAATTCTGACTCTAATAACGATTCCAAACCAGAAGAAACCACGAAAGAGGAACTGGAACAAGTTGTAGAAGAATCTCCAAAGAAAGATTTAAATTCAAAAATGAAAGAAATGGACGATCAGGTAACGAAAAAATTCCAAGGCTCTTTGTTAGATAGGCTTTTTTAAAATGAGACTATGTGTCATCACTTCAGCTCTCTTAAGTCTGCCGGATCCGGAGAGAAGAAGGCGATATTTAAGAATGGTGAGCTACAAATGTATTGGTATTAAAATGAAATGGGTAAAGCTCGCCATGTTAGGTCCTCGCCTCGTCAACCTAGTCAAGTTTATTTGCGAAACTGTTATATGCGCCCGCCCGGGTGTTAAAGAGATAATTACCTATGTACTAAGCCTATGTCATGTAATATGTAATACATACTACATATGTTATAGCTGTCTTTTCAGTTATTTTTAGCACAGTTTCTTTGAAATTAATTGTAAGACACTAATTATAATGCACTCGCTGCTCAGTAGGCCGAAGATGCGCGCCGCGATAAGCGGTTATCACGCCATTTTATCGATTTTACCCATACATTTTGACGTCGATAAAAGTTATCACGGCGCGCATCTTAGGCCTACAGGACTCAATTCAAACTTAAGCGTAGAGTCTTGCCTGTGATTGGTCGATATAATTTATGCTTAACTATGAACTTGTACTCAAATCTCAAAATTCTCGTTGTACTGATCTCCCCGGATCCGGCAAACAAATCAGTGTAACTATTTATATAGTAATATGCATTATGATGGTGGACGGAGTCCCCATCAAATACTTCTCAAAGTAGGATTTTTAAGTGTAGTGTTACTTACATCGTAAGTAGCGTGTAGGAAAGATAACATTGATGTATTTGTGTACTTTACTCATATAAAAATATGTAATAACCAGTTTGATGTTACTTAAGCAAACATAGATTTAATCACACATGTCCATAATAATTACGTACTTTTCATAACCAGAATAGAATTGCATACCTACCTTTTTTATAAAATAAAATAGAATAATCCAGTAACTTTAAGCTTGAGGGTCATTCCTCACCTCATTGCATATCTTTCATAAATACTTCTAACTATGGTTTATAACATATTTTATGCAGATGTTGACTGTATTATGCCAAAAGACTTTATTTATTTATTTTCTTTATTTAAAAAAATCTATTTCTTACTAAGTAAGTACTAATATCTTTAGTATTGAGATCGAAAAAACTTTCATTCCCTGAGTTTTTCTTTATACAAAAAATGTGATAAATATACGAATAAGTACAGCATTGAAAATGCGATTTCCGATTGAGGAAAAGTTTATATGTACAATTGTACGTTTTCTTTATTTCGTTTAAATCTATCATGTAATACCTACCATGTTATTTACAAATATTTTGCATTTTGTACTGATTAGTCACTGTGAAAATGAAATAAAATACCTACAAGTCTGCTATGTATAATATTGTTTTATTTATTTCATTTTTTATGTCTATATTTTCAAAATATCACTTAACCATTCGGTGTTTGGAATGTAATTAAACTAAAATAACAGCCAAATGTTTTAACACCTTTGAATTTAGTTATGCAAAATAATAACCACATAACTAAATACAAACTGACATAATTTGTACAAAATATTTAGAATCTGTTGTTTCATTTTAAGGCTTTTGCATGCAGCGTCCTTATTTTTTAAGTAAAAATCTTTTTGGCACATTTAGGTGTCAAGTTGAAAGACCTCCTCTCTTTTATTACATTAACTTTTGATTTAAATGAAGTATTTTTTTAAATAAGAACACTGCAGTGAACTTTTAACACATTCGCTAACGCAGTCATGAAGCGTACTTGGAAGCATATTATAACTTTGTTTAATATCTTTTTAAAAAGATTGAATCACAAAATTATAAGCACTAATATAGTAGGAAATGTAGCTCTTATACGTAATACAAATAACGATTATTCTATGCATAGATACACTTTACGCCATTAAATTCTAATATACCTACATATAATATTATTTCACATTTAGGCCGTTCATGTTAATCCATCCATCACTTATTATAATAGTCGAAACACTGTACATCAAGGATTAATAATTCTCACAAAATAATTATCTGGTCAAACGCCATGTTCTTAGACTTGACACAACCTTTTACAGGAACATAGAAGATATATTTGTAATAGCATATTTATACGCACTTAGCGCTAATAATATATCCGATGAAGAAAAATATTAAAGCGACAAGAAACGACACAAATAATATATGAGCCACGTGGCGCCCAACGTGTTAAATATAGCGCCTTAGAATCGGCTATAGATGTAAAGTTAAAAGTAAAAGTGAGTATGTAAATACTTTCAAAGTAAAAAAATATCTATAAATACAAAATTACCACCAGCTAAATATGATAACTTCATATATTTCATTCATAAATATGTATATCTCATTTTCACAATAGTTACTATCAGAAATGCAATCGTATATCGTGCCACTACTGGACACAGGTCTTGTGCAATCATATAATAATCTCACTGTTAATAATCATGCATGAAATCAAAAATTACATCGATAGGAAGGATTTATAAATATATTTTCTGCAAATATTGTAACGGTTGAAGAAGCTAATTTATTCTAATCCGCATAAAACAACATACAAATAAATAACTATAATATATTTTTGGACATTTTAAGCACCAATGCATTACAATATTTATCAAGCCTTTGCGCGATATATTTTATTTTTATATCCAGAAGAACGCAATAAAGGCCTTAGGCCTTTACTGAAATTACCAAACATGTAAACAAAGTAAATAATTGATATTAATATATTAATTTATTTCCTCTATTTGTGTTTATCGAATGTATAACAGCGGTTGTTTATATTTTTGGTAATTTCTGCAATATTGAAATTAAACACTTTCAAACCAAATGTAACATCTCCGTGAAGACAATTCATCAATCCTTTACATGTTAAGTACCAAGATTATTCCATAATATACAGTTTACAGTACATATTTTTTATTTATAATAAATATACTTAAACTGAAAATACATAAAATTGATTATCTCTTAACTACTTAAATTGATATAGGACAAGGTATTTTACACCCACAATACACTTCACTAAAACAAACTACATAGACGTAGTTACTTTTTAAACTATGGTAAGTACTTGATTATAATATACGGAAGTAATTTCATTCGTGAGAGTTATCTCATTTTTAAGTAAATCTTAAACTCGGTTCCAAAAAACAAATGATATGGTAATTGAATTGTTCTTAATTGACTGTAGTTTATAATTTGACGAAGCGGCAAAAATAACTAGATCTGAAATTCATGCAAATGCATTTAAATTGGAACTATCAATAAATAGGTACGTGTAGTTATTGATGGTCATAAATACTATGACGAATAGTTGATTAATAGTTCAACAGTCAACGGCTTATCATAAAATTTCAGATTGTAACAACAAACATCTGTAAAATAAAGTCTGTGATTAATTTAGTACAAAGACAATTTTATATATTGACTTCCTGCTGTCTGTACTACGTACTACTTAGTAGAAGTTGTTGAGTACCTACCGTAAACATGATAGAATTTCATCTTAAAATATTTATCAATTGCTGTAGTTTCAATAACAGTTCTCAGTACACTATCAGAGTAAAACGTCATAGATTTAGCGTCGTTATTGTGATGCTGAAATTGCTGAATATCATAGAAACACCAACATTTGTTGGTTATAATTTACAATAATGCTAGAACCTGAGTACTCGCGTAGTTCGGGCACGGCCCGCCATCGGCGCTAGGGTGACAAATGAAGGTACTCAGCGACGAAGACTCGGAAGATCTTGTTCAAATTCTCTATGGTGGTGAAGTCGAGCGCTGTGAGGTCGTCCGAAGGCTGGTGCCACACACTCGGGAATGGAGACGGGATTATGTGCAGGACGTCCACGTCTGCGAAGAAAAGATTTATGTTTTACTAGCTTTCCGCCTGCGGCTTCGCCCGCGTGGAATTTTGTCTGTCACAGAAAAACTTTATCGCGCGCGTCCCTGTTTCAAAAACCGGGATAAAAACTATCCTATGTCCTTTCCCGGGACTCAAACTATCTCTATACCAAATTTCATCAAAATCGGTTCATTGGTTTAGTCATAGTCATAAATGTTTATTGCATCATAAATATAAGATTTAGGAGTGAAAGCAAGACAGTCAGACAGAGTTACTTTAGCATTTATAATATTAGTAGGTATATGATAGATGACGCTGTAGTTATTATGGCTGGTTCCAATTTCTATATTTCTCTGTGTAATCTATCTAGTCATATGTAATTTTACTAATTCTAATTACTAATATTCCTGTTAACTCCTCCAAGGTCCACCTCAATAGTCTATGTTCGAGGATCGAACTAGCATCCTCTTAAATCGATAGACTGATGCATTCTAATAGTTTTAAAATCAAGTTTTAATGTTGGGTAATAAAAAAGGCGCTAAACGCCACGTGCATCACATCGAAGGGAAAACAAATTACAATATTTTTACCTTTATCAATATTAATTTAACTGATAACTTCCCTATTGCCTTTCAGTCCCAAAATTCCAATTATGAAACCGCAAAACGTCTAAAACGATGACAGGGAAAATCCAAGGTAAAGCATCTTATTTATGCGGGCGATACTGAATGGCACTAAAGCGAGCGTTAATGGATTCTGTAACCGGGTTTTATGCGGGGAGATGGGGTTTTAACCTGATATTATAGGGAAATTGGAGCTCAAGTGGCGAAAGCATAATCTGCCGCGCGTTTCAGAACCTTAAGATAAAAGTTAGCTGTTGTATATGATTCGGTAAACAACATAAGTATTTATCAGAATTTTAATGACGTTATTCAACCGTTTCGATCGATAAATTATCGAATACTTCTGAATTATCTACACCCCAATTACAAATCGTAAAGGATAGATTTGAAAACCAGATCCAGAATATACCGTTTTCTGTGGACGTAAGACAACAATATACATTAGCTCCCTTTTAGGTACCTTTCCTTCTTAGCTGCCAGATTTAGGTTGTAAACCCAACCCCTATAATAACTGCATGCAGTCTTTGAAATATCTAAAACTCCGACAAGTTTAGCTCGCCTGTAAAATATTTAGAGCTTTCGCAAAATACTCACTTCTCCTCAAGAACGGTATGTGGTCGTCTTCTATAATAGCTCTCGAACTGCTCAGCTTGAAGTACTTATTGTTCTGATCCTCTGTATCCTTGGCGTAGCTCTCGAGCTGGTCAAGGTCAGCCAGCCGGGACTCCGCGCTGACCATTCGGATGTACCACTTCTCGGTGGATCGGAAGTAGCTGTAGAATGCTGGGTTGGGAGCCCCTAGGAGGTCTAGGAGGACCAGGACGTCCTGCAAAAGAGATGGTTTCGGAGTTAGTAAGGTGTTAACGAGTTAGTAACCCGATGGGCGATTAATAATGAAAGTCATTTATTTTTTGCAAGTAGGCTTTTAAAAACACTTACACGTTCCAAATATAGCTTTCCCTACCTACCTACGACAACATTATGGGGTGCTGAGAAGCGGAAGAAACTCAGTCAAGTTTGTCAGACTATTATAGTAGATATTAGAGATTTTTCTGTCAATCACCGCTTCAGTGGTCACTAGAGGCTCTACCTGAACAGATTTAGAGACCATTTTTAAATGCCAGATTAAGTACCTTACCTACACTCAATAAACCCGTGTGTACGTATGACAATCGTTCGGGCTAATATGATTTTCCTGACCGTCTGTTTCTGCATATATTGAAAGGGTTAATACAATCTCATCCGAAGGTGAAGCCTGCCCAGACGATGCTTATTCTACGCGTGCGTTCCTCGAAGGTCTTGATTTTGTATAAATAGTCCCAATAAATTAGAGTCTACTTCATAGAAAAATATTTGGAAAATGTAGTGGCCCAAAAAATTCTAATATCTTTTTTATCTTTCTCAATATTATTTAGAATAGAGAAAATATTTACTCTAGATCTTCCCAGGCATATTCAAGCTAGTATAATTAATATGTAGGTGTGAGTTTATTTTTTCTCAAATTGCGCTGTCGTTTACATGGTCAATAGAGGAAAAAAATAGTTCAAACTGCGTTGTTAAATTGTTTACGTTATTTATATCTCCATGAGTTATTTAGGCTCATACACGCGATTGTATTTGTCACAGGTCGTGAACCCGCACTAAAAGATAAACGTCAATCGCTTTCATAATAATTCGTTGCTAAACATCATGATTTATATAGTCCAGTCATTATAGTAAGTTCACCTCGGAATTCGAGATACCCAGCTGTAAGTCTGTAAATACGTGTATATTGACACTAGAGATGAAACGGATATCCGGTAACTATCCGGTAGGCCGGATATCCGGCCTAAATTTACTATCCGGCCGGATACCGGATAGTAACTCACTATCCGGCCGGATACCGGATATTAAAAAACTACGACAATTTTCTATTAATAAAATGAAATACATTAATCTTTGAGGTAAATATCAATAAAATGGCTTATAATAATGACGGTTTTTGTTTAAAGTCCAAAAAGTTACAAAAGCCATATTAAGGTCTTTCAAAAAACTAATTTCTCTTTCTGGGCTATTCACTCTAATGACGAATACATAAATAGTAAATATCTGTTAGTGTCGAAATATTGCCAAATAAAAAAGGCGATCTTTTTTTCACTGATGGTTTAATGACATGATGCATGCAGTTCAGTCAGATTACGCAACAAGTAAACTAATTTAATTTTCGCTATTCAATCACGCACGATAGCAACCGAAATCGCCCGTTGATCTGCCCCCTAGACAAGTGGCAAAATCTGACATTCTATTCGGACGGATTCGATTTTCGAAAAGTGTGACTAGTCTAGTCTACTAATACCCACTGATCGCCTTCGAAGCACTTGTGCGGCGCTAAACTCGTCACGACATGCAACGAGACAATGGGCCAACTATATACCCCCACCAATCCGGAACTCTTTGACAGGATATGCTTTTAAAACCAGATTCAAGGCTTATCTTCTTGAGCGTCAAAAACTGATGTAGTTTTGCACGTAACAATTTTGGGGACTGTTTGCACGTATCTACTGTTGGTATCTGATCTTGTGCCTTGTTATTCTCATTATCATTGTCATGTTTATTGTTTCTGCCTTACTTAAACTTATGCCAAAATGTGTATGTGTCACCGTTGCTCAGTTGCGTCTTGTTTTTTTTTAATGTTTACCTGCGCCTCTCCACCACTACAATCAGGCGACCACTGAAAACCAGCGTCGTGGTGCTACGCACTGCGGCATTATGCTGAGTGGAAGCCTATTTGGCATAATCTTTAAATTTTTTTTTTTATCGTATTAATATTCTGTAATTTGTTGTTCTAGTGTGCCAAATAAATGTATTTTCTTTCTTTCTTCTTCTTTCTTCTTTAACTATCCGGCCGCCGGATATCCGGCTATCCGGCCTAGCAGCTGGCCGGATATCCGGTATCCGGTATCCGGCCAAACAACTATCCGTTTCATCTCTAATTGACACCCTAAAAGTTGTCTCAAAACCTACATATGGTAGGGTGTAAGCAACTATTAAATTTCAAGGTCAACGGTCACAAAAATCGGTTTTTTGCGCTTTTTTTTAGAAATATCTCATTTCCTGTGGGTTTTTTGCTATTTGTATTTATTATCAATATTGTAGAATACTAAATTCTCTACAAATTTTGTTTAAAAACTTTTTTTATACGGTGAACCGTTTTCGAGATAGAGGGCGGAGAGCGCGCGGTCACTGCATCACTTCAGGTCTACTTAAGCGGTTTAGATTTTTCATACAAAAGGATTTTCCCGCTAATTCCTGTGGGAATTTCGGGAATTCCTTGTTGTAACTAAGCTTTGAGTTTACTAAGGTACCTACATGCCAAATTTCAAGCGTCTAACTTCCGTTAAGCGTTTAGATTTTTCATACAAAAGGATTTTCCCGCTAATTCCTGTTCCCGTGGGAATTCCTAAGTAAACTATAACCTGCCCAGGTGTATGAAGAATAATTGTACCAAGTTTCGTTAAAATCCGTTAAACCGCTTAAGTTGACCTGAAGTGATGCAGTGACCGCGCGCTCTCCGCCCTCTATCTCGAAAACGGTTCACCATATAAAAAAAGTTTTTAAACAAAATTGGTAGAGAATTCAGTATTCTACAATATTGATAATAAATACAAATAGCAAAAAACCCATAGGAAATGAGATATTTCCAAAAAAAGCGCAAAAAACCGATTTTTATGACCTTTGACCTTAAAATTTAATAGTTGCTTACACCCTACCATATGTAGGTTTTGAGACAACTTTTAGGGTGTCAATATACACGTATTTACAGACTTACAGCTGGGTATCTCTAATTCCGAGATTCTTACCTAATTTAAGCTTAAATGACTGGACTATTATTGTTGATAGGCACCTACTTTATTATTTTGTTATGTTCGTTTTATTTAAATAGGAAAATATAGTAACCTATAAGAGAGATGTTTCTAAAGGCAGAGAAAATCAACTTGACTCCAACAATACGGTTGAATAACAGTAGGTGATAATCAGTCAGACACTATTCAAGCAGATATCAGAATTAGACGGTTTCCTCAGACAATACCGTTCCTGACTTCTCAAACGTAACAGCTTGTAATAAATAACAGTGTAATTTTAACACAAATTAATAGAGTCAAGCCCAACAGCAAGAAACGTAAATTAAAATACTTATAAGTACTTGCAATAAATTGAAAAGAGTAACATACAGATCACACTATCGTGGCTCTTCAGATCATCTGATAGGTAGGAAGTACTTAGGCAGTAAATTGAAAAGAGTACATACAGATCTCACTAATCGTGGATTTTCAGATCATCGAAATAGGTAATCGTTATTTCGTAGTACTTCGTCTTTCGCCTTTGGAAGAATAAAGCTCTACTAATGATACTTGTCTGGACCTAGTTTTTCCGTAGATAGATAGAGGATCTTTCTCCCACAAATGCAAGTTATATTAAGTACTTAAAGGTACTATTAGTTAGGTAGGTAGGATCGATCAAGTTATTAGATAAATATTTGACCAGCGCATCACAAATCCGTGATATTATGTGGTGACCACGATTTCGTCATATTAAAGTCTCCAACTTAATACTTATTTTAAGAGATAATAATAATACATGACATGACTGTATATTCCATTTATAGATACGCACAAACAAGAAAATTACTGGAAGAGATAATTGATAGAGTGATTACATCAATTATCACGTTCGACGCGAGACTTCACTGGTGCTTTGAATATTACATAGTGGGCTTACAAACTGACTGATTTGCGGAAACTAGATACCAGACTTAAAAATAAACTTAATACTGCTGCAATAAATACTTATGTCATTTGAATTCCTAAAATGTTAGCTTTGAGATCTATGCATCGGCATTTTGGAATAAAAATAAAATTTGTCTGGGCCACGTGCTCAGAATATTTTAAAATGTAGTTAATTACGTCAGTCGTCAGCCGTTCGAAAAAACTGGTATTACCTACCCATGCAAAGCATCAGATGCATTTAAATTGATCTCGGTTTTTAAACTTAATTGATTAGATGTTCGGTGCCTATAGGCAAATGTTTACACCTCCTTCATATATGTGTGATTTGCAGCAAACATATACAGGGTGTTAGGTAAATGGGTATATGAGCCAACACTAGCCCATATTAACATGGTCATATAAATGGTATGGTGAAGTCAGAAAATTTATATCTTCATTTTAGTTATTTTAATTTTCATACAAATCGGATTTTATAAAATTTATTTTGTATGAATATTTAAAAAAATAAAATAATGATATCAAATTTCTGACTTCACCATACCATTTATATGCCCATGTTAGCATGGGCTAGTGCCGGCTCATATACCCATTTACCTAACACCCTGTATATAACAAGATGTACTATCAGGGACTCGAACGCCTTGACACCTTAAGGGCCTAAATTGTTTGCACACACACGCTCGATTTTGCTCCGCCCCCGTTCATTCATATTTCGGGTCTAAGCAGCGTCGGCGCACCACTGTAGATGTTTGCCCTAGCAAACCAAGCTCTATGTAAAGCAATTAGGATTGAGTATTGCTTATTACCCGCATCCGTAGCGCTCGTTTGGCAACGTAGCATTTTAGTCAATTTGAAACCCAATAAAGAATCGCTACAAAATATTATATGAGGCTTCGTGTAAAATTTGAACTAGCGATTGCCCGCTCGGGTCACAAAATTGCTATCGCACATTCCGAGGTAACTATGCAATTTCCCGAGAAAAAAGTAGCCCTTTCTACAATTATTGTTGATATTATGAGTGTAAATCTCATGATATTAGTTTAGCTAGTTAGGGCGAGGA